GCATTTGAGTTATGAATCATCCAAAAATATGAGTGTAGTGTCTTGAGTATAAGTTGTGAGCTTTCTATTGAGTGATTATTTCTCTTCAAGTTGTGAGTGGTCTTTGGAAAGTGTTGTAGTGACTTTTATTATGGGTGCACTTATTACATTTATTACAGTTTTACAAAACCAGAAAAAGGGAAAAGAGGTGAAAAGCCCTCAATTTGTTTTCCTGCAATTCTTCCTGATTTAATGGTGGAAAGTTGTTGCATAGAAGGTAGAGGATAATTGGGCAGACGCCAGATTTATCACATGTAATAAAAACAATCCCAATAGGAATTTGAACCTTCTAAAAGGTGGACAACTTTTGGAAGTCATAGATAAATCAAAGTGTAAAATGATAAGGAAAAAAATAAGTATAGCAAAGCAAGACTTCAAGTGTAGAGCTGGTTAGTGGGTGATATATGAAGTTTAGGGATTCCTCTATTTATATAGAGCTCTGCCTTGGAGACGAGGAATTAATTGTTTTCAAGTAAAGAATGGTTAATTTGGAATACAACTGCAGTCATTAAATTGAATATTCAAACAATATGTAAGAATCGGATAATTTTAAGGCGTTTAGGGTATCATCCTAACTTTTAAAGTCCGTTTTGACTAATATAACCGTTAGTCTTCTACATTTGTCGCGCCAACAATTTCCACATAAGTCAATATTATCGACGTGGCTTGCTGATGACATGAAATTTTATTAGAAAATAAATAATAGAATATTTAAAATATTTACTAAATACAATGGTAGAGAAAAGTCTCCAAAATAAATAATAAAATTTTGAGAATTTTTTTAACTGTTGTATTTAGTAAATATTTTAACATAATTCTTTAATTCATAGACGCAGAAAACTCACAGTTCTGTTAGTCAAAATGACCAACAAATTTCAATGGCTAAATTGATGCAAAAAATCATATGAGCAAAAATGCTAAATTGCGTCTATTATAGAGACAAAGTAGCCCTTAAACTTTTTTAAGGCATAATGCAACAAAACAACATTAACGTTTGACAGAATTATCAAATTTGCCCTTATTTTTTTAGAACATTTGACACCTTAACGTTTCATTCTGTATAAAAAAAAACATCCTGGTTGGATGAAAATCATTAGTCAACTAATGGCATGTCCATATCATAATAGATGATATGACATGTCCATATCATAGTAGATGATGATATGGCATATCTATGTTGACGTGACATGTCCATGTGTGGTGCCACGTCAGTAATTTTTTTCAAATTAATTATAAATAAATAATTTTAATAAATTAATAGCATCAATCAAATGTTACCACGTGAACAAGTGAAAGTCTCCAAAATATGTGGAGAGAGATGCTGACATGAAATTTATTAGAAAATAAATACTAGAATATTTAAAATATTTACTAAATACAATGGTAGAAAAAAGTCTCCAAAATAAATATTAAAATTTTGAGAAATTTTTTAACTGTTGTGTTTAGTAAATATTTTAATCTAATTCTTTAATTCATAAACGTAGAAGACACACAGTTCTGTTAATCAAAATAACCAACAAACTTCAATGGTTAAATTGATGCAAAAAATCATAAACGAAAATGCTAAATTAGGTCTATTATAAAGACAAAAGTAGCCCTTAAACTTTTTTTTAAGGCATAATGCAACAAAACACCCCTAACGTTTGACAGAATTATCAAATTTGCCCTTATTATTTTTTTATAACATTTGGCCCCTTAACATTTCATTATGTGTCAAAAAGCACCCTCATTAGATGAAAATCATTAGTCAACTAACGGTTAAGGCTTGGAGCTGACTCAACAAGAATATGTGGAGGGAGATGTTGACATGACATGTCTATGTTGACTAAAATATTGACGTGATATGTCCATGTGTGAATCCACATCATCAATTTTTTTAAATAAATTATAATTAATTAATTTTAATAAACTAATAGCACCAATCAGATGTTACACGTGAACAAGTGAAAGTATATATTAATGGGATTTGATCCTGGGTCTGATGGATGAAAAGCTCTATACCTAACCACCATGCTAAATTTCTTAGATGATAAAATTTGACTAATAGTTTTATTTAGAGTTTGTTGTAGTTATCAAAACCATTAAGAACACAATTGGGCCAGCACTGTTCTTTTTTTTAATTGAGTTAAATCTAAATTGACGTATAAAATTTTAATAAATAAAATATTATCTAATAATATAAAAATTGATCAATTTAATATTTTATTTTAAGTTTACTTTTTTATAAAATTTAAATTATAAAAATTTCTCAACATGTAAATTTGTTATTTAATAAATAAAATTTTATCGTATAAAATTTTATTTTTTATTTAAAATATTATCGTATAAAATTTTATTTTATATTTAAAATATTATTGTATAAATTTTAATTAATTTTAAATTTATAAATTTGAAAAAATAATAAAACAATTTGATATTTTATTTTAAGTTTACTTTTTTTATTAAATTTAAATGATGTTTAGAGATAAAGTCATTAATAGATATCATATATTTGTCCAACGTTGGTTTGTTGAGAAGCATGTCAGCATGTGAGATATATGTTGCCTGATATCTAGCATTGTTAATAATTTAACTGATTAAGTCAATGAGAGTTACCTTATATCCATTAAGTAATATTAATCATTGCTAGGTGCATAGTCATTTGGTTCATGACATGCTCATAATTGAAGTTGCTAATTATTCTTCCAATCCATTTAATTTTTGATCTTCTACTCCCACAACGTTGCAACATTGGTTGGTATCTTTAGAACTGAATTTTATTCCTAAATCTTTCAGCACAGTGTTCTCTGTGGGTTTGACACTCGTAGCTATCCAAGCTACCACTTTATTACTTGAATACGATAATGTATGTTTGCACTTTGTTGTAGCATTATTTTAGCATCAAGTTTTTGGCGCTATTGTCGGGGTACTTTGATTTTTGCATAAGAGCTATTTTTATTTACTTCATTGTTTCTTTTATTTTTGTAGGTACATATTCTCGTTATTAGTTTTGTTGATTTATGTCCCATAGTGACAACGAGCTAGAAACTTTTGATCCGAAAATAGAACGAACATTTCATTGTCGTAGGAGAGAAGTTGTTAGGAATCAACTAAACATGAATGTTGGAAAAGGTAACAATGCTCAACTTCCATTACAACTTGAAAGTGGCGATGAAATGCCAGATGGAGTTGGAGTCAACCAACAACAATATTACAACATAGATGATCGTAATCAGCCTATTCGGGAGCATGTTGTGCCAACAGTAGATGATCTACATCCTGGTATTGTGCGACCAACAATTCATATTGCCAATTTCAAGTTGAAATTGATGATGTTTCAAATGTTACAATCCATGGGGCAATATAGTGGTTCATTCACTGAAGATCCTTGAGCACACCTTCGAGCATTTATAGAAGTGTGCAACTCATTTGTTCAACAAGAAGTCCCTCAAGAATATGATTGGAGGATTACATATATTAAATTAATTTAAATTTATGATCAAATTGATGAAATATGTAAATAATAAGGACTAAATATGTAATTATACCAATTTTATTAACTTCCACGTCAACACTTTCGTTAAATGTGAACGACAAGTGGCTTGATTGAATACATTTAAATAGTTGAATGACCTGTTTGACAAATTTCAAAATTAGTGATCAAAACGAAAAGAGGCAATAGTTAGGGGATAAATGTTACAATTTACCCAAATAAGAATATGTTGAATAAAAATTTTCCTTTGGGTTGATTTATTACTCACTTATAAATCGGAATAATCAACTTATGTTTATTATGAAAGATACACATGTAACTATGTCAACTATTAATCTTTCTTTGGGTCGATCAATATTAACATAATCTAAGATACATACATAGGACCTGTGAAAACATATTAAAATCAAGCAAAATGCAAATGATATCTAATTGAAAAAATTTATCCTTGGTTTAATTAATGTTAAACTTTCGTTTGAGTCTATTTATCTTTTCTTTTATAATCATGAATTTTGGTTGATGATAAGTACTTCAACAGTTAATTATAATCATACATTGATATCGAAGTTTAAGAGTTTGTGTTTAGAACTCATATATCCTCTCGGGGTTAACTTTATATAAGATTTATGAATCTTTTAATGTATGATATAATAATGAAAAAATAAAAAAATAAAAGAATAAAAGGTGAATTCAAGGTAAAAATTCACAAGGAGCATTTTGTAGTCGAATAATAAATTTAAGTTAAAAACCTAAAATTGTAATTCGAATATCGAAAAGACTGCAGACTTGATGCATTAATAGTGATCACCATTCCCCTTAAAATACGGTTTATTGACAAGTGATGGAATGTCACAAGAGATGATAATAGGGTAGGTAATGTTATTGTGATCTTTTATTGTCCACGGTTATCTTTTTGAGTTGAGATATAATTGGCATGTCATAGAGGGAGTCCACAATGCTTGTAAGTATATTGTTAAGACTTTAGTCTCGTTAGTGACAGAGCTATAGAGGGATGACCAGTATAGTTGTTCTAATACACTATTGACAGTGATGGAGGAACTTCTAGATCTGTATGTCAAAAGGGCTAATTGGACTATTATTGAAATTATATTGTATGCATGTTGATATGTTATTAATAATATTTGTTTAATGATGATGTTTGATCCATCTTAATTATGACTTTTGAAAGTTACTATACATGAAGTCTATGTATGGTATGAATATGGTAAAATGATATAGTATCACCATACGGTCAACAAGGTAAATGAGTTCATAAGTTTATGCACACGATATGAACGAAATACAAGGTACATGTTGTAAGTATGATATAACATTAAATGGGTACGAGTGAATAAAAAATGCTTATACATTTAATATGCTTTGATTTATGAACGGGAGCGATCAAAATAGTACACACATTTCATTAAAAAAATATTCAAACAGGAGGAATAAAAAATGGCTTATTTCAAAGCAATTGGAACAAATTTTATCAAAATAGTACACACATTTCATTAAAAAAATATTCAAACAGGAGGAATAAAAAATGGCTTATTTCAAAGCAATTGGAACAAATTTTATCAAAATAATTTCATGAAACAATTACTTAGTATTTAATAATTCACCGTTCTGCAGTTGGTGCGAATTTGTCCCTGGTTTCCAGTCAAAGGCTTCAAGTTTCCCATCTTAATCATGGACTTTGCAAAATCATTCCAAAACACGTGAGGGTACAATCTTTAAGTACTGACGAGATCGTCAGTAGAGCCACCACTGAAAAGCGCTTGATCCGAAATGAGTAAACCCCTTTGCTTCACGAGGTTGTTGAAATACGCATTGTCAAAGCGTGCAGGCGTTGGGTCTAAAGGAGCAAGATTAGTGTCTCCTCCAGTGCGTGGACAGGTCGCTCTTCTATTTTCCGCAAACACAGGGTCGATGTTCGTTGCATTATAAATTCGGTTTCTAAAGGTAAAACATTGTGCAAAACCAATGGTATGCCCACCGGAGAGAGCTACCAGATCTCTCTCGTTTAGACCTTGATTCTTGAAATTGTTAATTAATGCAGGAAGATCCATGAATGGAGCCGGGAGGTAAGTATCGGCTTGCGTTCGACTCGCTGTCGTCGAATCTCTCCGACCAAGTAGCACTTTCCATGACGGCCCTCCAAGCTGCACACACATGTATACATTTTCATTAGCAAAATGCATGGAATTTAACGAAGTTTTGATAATTAGAAGGGTGAATGATGGCCAATACGCACTGCAACTACAGAATCTCGAGCTGCAACTACAGAATCTCGAGCTGCAACAGCTACTATATCAGCACAAGAAACCACCGGGCGTCCACAAATCTTGTCGACCTCAGCCTTAATTTCGTCGATCACTTCGAATCCTCGAGCAGAATTTTGATTGGGGCGAGAGTTCTTTTCACTGTCAATGGTTGGGCGAGTTTTGGGTGGATTTTTCATGGTGGTGGTGTTGCTTATTTATAGTGGTAACCAGTGGGATTATTTTAATGATTTGGTAATGATGGAATTGGCAATTTCGACTGGTTCTTACAAGTTTACCTTAACCTCTTCAATTTTCTCATACTGCCTCAACCAGTTTTAAATTCATTAATTGTTTGCTCTTGAACGAAGCAAAAGAAAAAAAAAAGTCACATATTTACTGTTTAATTTAAGCTACGCGCATTTGCCAAAATTACTAGGTCAAAATTTATAATTCATCACCCTACTTCGTTTAATTTGGCCAGTTAATATTTACACCGTGTTTTCTGTTAATATCATGGATTTTACTTACAAGCATCTTACATGTTAATATTAACTTTTTATATTGTTTTTTTAGAATTCATTGATCGATCTGCGTATGATTTTTTTAGATTTTAAAATAATAATTTAAAATTTTATTAAAAATCATAAAATAAAAAAAATCTATTTTAAAGGCTTTTGGAAAGTAGAATTTTGTGTATATGTAAAAAATCAAAAAAGCTCTATGTAACCGTTTATATAAATATATTTCTTGTAATTTTAGGTTCTATAATTCTTAATTTTCTCATTATACAACAATTAATGTACATGGACAAGTTCTACAAGTTAAGTATACAGATTAATTATTGGTTTTGACCGCTTAACAATTCAACTCTTTGTTTTTTTAGAATTTGTCGGTATATATAAAAGCATAATTAAGAATTTAATTAAGAATGTAATGAGAATTTGTCAAGATAGTGAAGGCATTGCAACTGATTTAATTAGTGAAATTTTAGATATGATGATGATAATGATGATGATGATTATTATTATTATTATTATTATTATTATTATTATTATTATTATTATTATTATTATTGTTATTATTATTATTATTATTATTATTATTATTATTATTATTATTATTATTATTATTATTATTATTATTATTATTATTATTATTTCACCTTCCGGGCTTCATCGCTTTCTTGCCCATTACAGAACATCAAACCTTGTCTCTATTGGAAAACAACCAAGCATAAATGTCTGATGACTCAACCTCCCACGTGTGCCATAAAAACGCGTCTCCTAAAATCCAGTTTCACCAAACAATCGGATGGTAATTCCCACCAACACTAATAAAAATAGACGTATGGTATTATTAAGCAATCAGGCAGCGTTATAACCAATATTCTATCGTCATATACTATAATACACATACGTTGGTATTTATTGGTCATTTTAAGCTCAAAAATCATCTCCAACATCTCTCTGAGCACTTGTTGCACTAGTCATGAAATGAGTGAAAACTGGCTCATTGGCAGTGTCTGCATTAATCATACGACACATGGCAAAGAGTTGTTTAAAGAATTGAAGAGTACCGAGTTGAAGAAGGTCATTGAATTGGGTTGGTTTCACTTCCTTTATGTACTGATCTTGTTCAAACTCTACTTAACGTCGGTTAATTAGTAGACAAGGGATTCAAAGTGAAATTCATGGAGAAGCCAAGTGTGATAAAGGATGCTACAAGATAGAAAATGTTCAAAGTTTAGATGGCAGGGAGAAGTTTTTCACTCAATTCAATGTTGGAAGAGTAATCGGTTTATCTAGTTAAAGAAAGCCTCACAATGTTGTGGCACAAAAGACTCAGACAATATGGAAATGGATCTTATAGAACTTGCTATCACATATTGACATGTAAGGCTTGTTAGTTTGGAAAGCAAAACATAAAGTCATTTTCAAAGACTGCATGGGGAGCCACTTGTAAGTTGCAGTTGATTCACATAGATATTTCTAGACCTTAAAGAACTCATTCATTAGCAAGTAATCGGTATTATGTTGCTTTTATTGATGATTTTACTAGAATGTGTTGGATTTTCGTCTTAAAGTTCATGTCAAAAGTTGTTGGAGCATTCTAAAAATTCAAAAGAATTTTGGAAAATCAAAGTGGCAATCACATTCAAGTATTTAGGTCTGATTATGGAAAGTAATATAGTTTAGAAAATTTCCACGCATTTTGTGAAGAAACTGGCGTTCATCATCAGTTGACAACTTCTTATTCGTCGTAGAAAGATGAATTTAGTGAAAGGCGGAACAAATACATCTTAGAAATGACTAGATGTATGTTGTATGAAAAGAATTTACCAAAGAAATTTTGGGCAGAGGCAGCTCATTCTGTTGTTTTCCTACATAATAGATTGCCCACAAAAGGAGTCAAGGATTTAAAATAAAACATCTTTGAATTTTCTCAAAATATTTGGTTTTTTTGTGTTTCACTCATATTACCTAGATCAAGATAGACAAGCTAGACAAAAGGGTGCTTCCAAGAGTCTTTACCAGATACATCAATGTTGCAAATGCTTATAAAAATTTTCCAACCACAGAATGGAAAAATTGTTATAAGCAAAGATGTTCATTTTGTAGAAGATGAAAAGTGGAATTGGGATGAGAAAAATGGTCCAACTATTGCAGATTTAAAGCTTAAGTTACTCGCTTCAACCATAGATGAAGATGAAAATTGGTTGAATGAGTTAGTGGATGATGATCCAACAAGGGGTATTAGATTGCTTACTAAAATCTATACAAGATGTAATGTAGTTGTATGTGAACCTGCATATTTTTCTATGGCAATGAAAGACACAAAATTGGTGGCTGCAATGAATGAGGAGTTTCCCATGATTGAGAATAACAAAATATGGGAGCTGGTTGATCGTCCCCAACTTATAAAGGTGAATGCATTCAAATGGGTGTAGATAACCAAGCTTAATGTTGACGGCTCAATCAAAAAGCATAAAGAAAGACTTGTGGTCATAGGTTATGCACAAGTTTTTGGCATGGACTATTCAGACAGTTTCGCGCAAGTTCCTCGTTTGAACACGATAAGACTTTTGCTTGTTGTAGCGACTCAAATAAATTGGAGAGTTTATGAACTTGATATAAAATCAGCTTTCTAAAATGTACTTTTACGAGAAGAAATTTATGTTGAGCAAGCTGAAGGCTTCGTGAGGAAAGAAAAGGAACACAAGGTTTTTTCTCTCAAGAAAGCCCTCTACAGACTAAAACAAGCTCCAAAAGCTTGATATATCAAAATAGAAGTTCATTTGATGAGCTTGATCTTTGAAAGAATTCTATCAGAGACTACTCTTTATGTAAAACGTCATGGCAAATGTAACACCCTCAATTTTTCTTTGTTCTTCATTTGTTTTTATTTAATAAATTTTGGGAACCATTTTGCAAAATCTAAAAATGTTAGGATATTTTTTTAATTTCCTTGAAGTTCAGAGACTAAGCCCTAAATTTCACCATCTCATTCTGCAAAGAAAATAAAAAAATGGAAATGTTAGGTTGAGGTGGTTAAACTTGTGACTTAGGGAGATGGCCACTAATGCCTTAGCCACCAGGCTAGACCACTGTGGATGTAAGGTAAAGCTAGAAAAAAAAATCTTTTTAGCTTTTTGGTTTGAATTTTAAATCCCCAAACTCTTCCCGCAATCAGAATCAAGCTAAAACCTAAGAACCAAAATCATTAAATTTTATTAAATTATAACAGCCGACAACTACAAAACCATCGTCCTCTGACCAACGTGTTGTATATCGCCCCCTCGGCGTGTTATTCATCTAGAACAATCAAAACCCGACCACCCTCTCGTCGTGTAGTCATTTCATTTGCCATAAATTAACATTCAAATCTTTCGTCAGAAATATACCACTGTGGCCTTTTCTCGTCGTTTCAAGCTTATTGGGTCATCCGTGGATCTCACCGCCCTTACCACTGAGTTTTCAGGGTTGTTCCAACCATAACCCAACCTTTTAGATCCCTCACCATTGATGCCTCTATTGTTCATCGTTGAGCGTAAGCCCGATTCACTTTTTGATCATTTTACATTATTTCAGCTAGAATTTGGTATTGATTTGGGTTAATTATAGCGAGGTGATACTTTTGGAGTAATCGGATCGCTGAAATCGAACTTGTCACTGTCGCACACACCATCCTTGCATATGAGGCAGCTCCTTCATCCCATATTGTTTTACAACCTGTAACATCCCAAACATTGGGTTAGTGACCAAATTATGAAATTTTAAAATTCAGTGACTAAACTAGATAAATGGAAAAATTAAAGGACTTAATTGAAATATTTTGTGTAGGATGATTGAGCAAATGAAGGAGGAATAAAGGGTCAAATAGGTCATTGAACAAGGGAAAATAATTAAAATTTTTTTATGGTTCTTTAAAACCCACGTGGAACATGTTTGGGGGGAAAAAGTTTCTAGACATTTTTTTTTCACTCTTCTTCTCCAACCGTGAAACCCATAACCAAAGTGAGTTAGCTTTTATTTGGTTAATTCTAGAGAATTGGGTGTGGTTTTGATTGTTGAAACTTTAAGAAAGTTTAGGGAGACAAAAAGAGATATAGAAACTCAAAGAAATGTGAGTTATGGATGATTTAAAATATAAAGTTATTAAGTGAAAATTTGAATAAGAAGATTTAAATGAATTTAGAAGCTGAATTTGACATGTCATAGGTGTGAACAGGAAATAATGAGTGTTAGAACTAAGTTTGGATTACATGGAAAACTTAGTAAATTTCTTAGTTTCAAGAATTGGAATGAAATGTTTAAGTTTATAAGGTGTTAAGAAGATAAATGATAGTTAAAATGGTTGTAGTTGAGTTAGGTGGTATGAAATGAGCTTTCAATATGGAAATTTAGTGAAGTGTTGATGATTTTTTTCGGGTGAAAGAAGCATGTTCTGGGTAAGGGGTATCAGTACCAGATGAATGGGTACCGATACTACACCGTTATTATAGGCTATTGTGTTGAGTAGGTATCGGTCCTGCATGAACAAGTACTGATACCCTAAGACCATTTTAGAAAACATCTTCATGAGGTATCAATACCAAAAATGATAGTATCGATACCATAGGTATCGATACCAGAAAGTAGGTATCGATACTTAGAAACATCGAATCTAATTTGGGTACCGATACCCAAGTAGGGTATCG